AGCTTTGTTTGTTTTGAGGAGGTTTTCTTGGGCAGCCTGCCCCCTCCTCATTGTGCAGCCTCTCAGGTGCATCCTCCAGGATCCATCTCTGTCCTTCCTGGTTCTGGGATTGCCCGGCCTTGGTTTCTCCAAGAACTCCTCCATCCAGGGCCTTGTGGAACCTGCAGGTCTGATCAGAGATTTACATTTACTTCAGGACAATGGCAGCAGCCATGGAGCCCCTTCCAGGGCCTAAAGGGGCTCCAGGAGAGCTGGAGAGGGGCTTGGGACAAGGGATGGAGGGACAGGACACAGGGAATGGCTTCAAAGTGACATAGAGATTAGGGTTAGATGGGATATTGGGAAGGAATTGCTGGCTGGAAGGGTAGGCAGGCCCTGGCCCAGGTTGCCCAGAGCATCTGTGGCTGCCCCTGCATCCCTGGAATTGTCCAAGGCCAGGTTGGATGGAGCCTGAGATTGGATTTTTATGTGCAAACCCATGAGGAAAAGGAAGATTAGGAAGCACACTTGGATCTCTGCCTTCTGGAAAAGGTCTCAGTGTTGTCACTGAGATGATATGAGGCACATGGTTGAATTCTTGGTCCTGTGCAGGGCCAGGAGCTGGACTTTGATGATCCTTGTGGGTCCCTTCCAGCTGAGGTTGTTCTGTAATTCCACGATTTTCTCAGTTGATTTGTTTCCCACTGCAGGTTTCCATGAAACACTTTGATTGATGCCTGTCAGTTGTGATCCTTTTCTGTGCCATCTCCCTCTGGGAGAAAATAAATGAACATATGTGGAGGAGAGTTTGATTTTAGTGAATGGTGAAGTGAAAATGTAATTTTCTGTGTCCTTCCTGCTCTGTCTTTACGTTCCCCAAGCCAAGGGGGAGGGATGGAGGAATATTTTGTCTCGTTTTATATTCAAGGGGCTTAAACCAAGTCTCACTCTGCAACTCCAAATAGAGCTCGTGCCATCCCCAAGGTTAATGAAAGGAAGAAGCTGTTGGTTTGCCCAAACTGGGAAGGACACCAGGACTTGCCAGACACAGGAAACCTGGGAATGAGGATGAAGCCAGGGAGGGCACATTGGAGGGCACCATGTCCTTGCCAGTCCTGGTGGAAGCAGAGAATGGACACAGAGAGAAAGAACAGCTTTAATTTAATACTTAATTTCCTCTTCCAGAGTGGGAAGGATTTTGTCTGGGGATTTGGGGTGATTTATGACTTGGACTTTGATTGTGTCAGGGCTGAGGCAGTTCAGGAGCTGCCTTCTGTGCCTCCAGTTCTGGACAGAACCTGACTGGGAGTCGGTCTGTGGGAGCTGCCTTTCCATGGGGTTTGCTCTTAAATCTGGCTTGCAGGGCTGCAGGGAGACCTTTCTGTTGGAGCACAGAACCCTTTGGTGTGGTTGTTCCATCCAAACCCATCTGTGGGTGCCTGGGATTTACCCCCCAGGGGTCTCTTGACCCCCTTCAGCTGCCACAGTTGTGGCCAAGCTTCCCATGGCAAACCCTCCCCATGGTGTGGTGGCCACTGGTGGTGTGACCTGCTCTTGGAGAGGAGGGATAAGCTCTTGGAGAGGAGGAATAATGCCAGGAATGTGGTTTTTTCCACATGGGAAGCTCAGGAGCTGTGGCAGAGTGGCAGCTGAGCACGCCCTGTGTGCCAGGGGCAGCCCCAGCGCCTGGACAGGCACACGGAGCAGGGACAGGAGCCTGGAAACCACCCTTTTCCCACTGAATTCAGAATTGGCCTGGGCTGAACTGGGAGCTCCTCAAGGCAAACTGGGCTCCCCTGCTTGGAGAAATGTTCTTCTGCAGAGTTTAATCCAGTTAATGGACTGGATGCACCATAAAATGCCCTGTGCTTTGTGGTGGCACCGTGACAGCAGAGCCCACGGGATGATGTGGCATTCCAGCCTCTCCAGCCTCTGGGTATCTTCATTTAAGCTGCTTTTGGGAGTGGTTTTAAGCTGTGCTGAGGCAGAAGGATATATTCTCCTTCCCATTTTTCTGCTGGAGTGGGAAGGCAGGGAAGAGCCACGTTGGAAACTGCTGCAGCCCCATTTGCCATCGTTCACCTCTCAGGGTTGCTGGGCAGATATTCCAGGAAAGATTCACTGCCTTTGAAAGACATTAAAAGGAAAAAATTCACAGTTGCTTCCTGTAGGTACATTTAAAGGGGGTAAAAAAAAAATGATACACGAGAACTTACTGTTGGTCTGAAATTAGATCCAAACCTGGGGGGTGGTTTAGGCTGTGGAAAGAGAAAAGCAACCCTGGATATTTAACAAGGGATTTTGAACAAGGGTGGCACCTGGGGAACAGCAGGAGAGGGAGAGGAGACCAGGAAACCATTGGATTACAAAGAGTGGACTGGGAGCAGCAACGGGAGCCGTGGCCCCAAAATGATGTGGGGACAAATAACAGCAGGAATGAGTAACTGGGGAGGGAAAGGGCTGGGGAGCTGCTGCCAGGGCTGGAGCCCCTCTGCCCTGAAGCCAGGCTGGGAGAGCTGGGGGGGTTCCCCTGGAGAAGAGAAGGCTCCAGGGAGAGCTGAGAGCCCCTGGCAGGGCCTAAAGGGGCTCCAGGAGAGCTGGAGAGGGACTGGGGACAAGGC